CCTTCCCCGCCCGCTTGTGGCGCGCCCCCCTCCCCCCCCCCGCCTCAAGCGCTTTCCAGCAGCGCGCCAGCACTTCCACTGCAAGCTAATCTTTCCCTTGCCCAGTAAATAGCTCTCCAGGAGGCTTCCATAAATACTTCTAATTTCCTTTCCTCTGATGATTTACGAGGGTTGCATTCAATTAACGGCAGTATTGATTTTGCTGCAGCTGACCGGCACACCGCTTGCACGCCTTACGCAACCCATCGCTTACCTCCTCGGCGCGCGGCAGGGGACAAAGCGAGCGGGAAGGCACGGACGGAGGGCTCGGCAAACCCCAGCGGCTGGCAGACGCCAGGTCTAGGGTGCCGCCTGCGTCTCCCTTGTCCCAGCAGCCCCCTTGGCAAGCCGGGGGGAACCGTCCTGGGAAGTCCCTGGGTAGCTCCTTCCAAGGAGGACAGTGGACGCTCGCGTCTACCAAAAGACGTTTCTAAAGCATGGCAAGAGGCTGGTGGGACACAGAGGCAACCATACACTCAAACACAGGTGGCAGCAGCGAAGCTTCCCTCTCTCCACCCCTGCCTTAGGGCTGACCCCAACACAAGACACGAGCAGCCGCACCGCGGCACGGACGCTGGCTCGAGGGGTCCCAGGGTGGCAAGAGCCAAGCCAACGCCCGAGGAAAGCCAAAAGGGAACAGAGACACAGGCAAAGGCAGCGGCTGCCGAGGGCATTTGCTAAGAAAGATCTTGAAGTAACTTTTGGCAGAGTAAAGCTCTTTGCCCTGCCAGCTTGGAGGCTTTCCAAGGCAGGTAATTAATTGCACCCGTTTATTTAAGTCGCTCTTTGTACTTTGGAAGTGGAAAAGCCATCCCTCACCTCCTGTCTGAGCAGACCCGCGGAGCGGTGCTGGCAGAGGACAGCGGTCACGTGAGCGCGTCAGAGGCGGCTGCGTTTCTGCAGGGAGTGAAAAGTGATTGATTATATGGATATTTCATAAAGCATATTGAAGGCCTCAGCTCATTCTTCTTTAGGAGGTGCTTCGCAAACCCAAGTCCTTATGATTTCATTTGAGACCCAACGGTAAGCAGAAGAGCGTTTTGTAAAAACAAGAAATAATCCACTTCTGCTCAGCTGGAATTGCAGACAGCTGCACTCACGGCTTTGCTGTACAGGGAGAGAGACGAACGCGGCAGTCGTGTTAACCAGAAACACTTTAAAGAAAAAAATCCCTTTGAAATTATCACCCTTTAATTGTATTATCTTTTGCTGACAGCTTCAAGTCGGTCACTGGAGATCAAAGAAACAAAGATGGGGAGGGAAAGAGGAAGCAACTCCCAGTGGAGTTTAATGAATTTGCACCCCGGACCTCAGGAGGCAGCTGCCCACGAGAGCCCAAGAGCCCAGCCCGAGCGCCATCGAGGTGACCCTGGCCCGCGGTCCTAATAGTAAACGAGTAAGGGCATCTTCGTGGTCCTGGCATCGAGCAGGGCTGAGGAGACGCAGTGCAGGCCCTCGCGCCGCTGGTGCGGTCAGCAGCAGCCCCAGCCCTGCTCTGCACTGGGGTTCCTGCAGCCGCACGGGACCTGCAGGATGCCCTGGCCCCCAGGCGCTGCAGGAACCATGGGGCCCTCAGCTGCAACCCGCTACCTTCCCACAGACAGTTCCTTGATGCAGAATCAAGGTTTTGTCCTAGCTAGGATTCAGATTGCCCCAGGTTGTTTCACCCAGGTCTGGACAGAAGGGAAATAACGTTGCGGGAGGATGTGAGGACCCACTACCCCTCCAGCATCACCAAGTGCCGCCTCCTGCCGCAGCGCAGACCCCAGCCGAACCCCACGAGGCTCCAGAGCAGGAGGCAGGCATTAAGAAACACTTAGGAAGTGTTTGCAAATGCTGCTGGTACTTCACTAAGGATCACGGTAATAATCCAATATTCAGCTGATGGGTAAACTGAGACACCAAGCAAGTACATGAGCCAGGTACCAAGGCAAAGGGAGCTATAGAGAAAAAGAAAAACAAACAGATCCCTATAAGGGAAGTCAGGAGCCCTGGTTGCCCACACCCTTTGCTAGCCACATCTGGCAGCAATTCCTCACATGCCAAGCCTGACTGTCCTGGGCAAGTGCACAGGAGCCCAGCCTGGAGACGGAGCTTCCACCCCTAAAAGACCATACCCAGGAGACTCCCCAGTGACGGTGCTTCCTTCCCTGGAGACACTTTGCCCCAGGAGCTTGACCTGAATTCAGCCATTTAGATGCAAAGGCTAGATTAAAAACAAGGAGATTATACAGGCATGAGAAGCGATTGTACTGCATCGTTTGACATCTGGTTTGCTTCCTGCCACTATTATGGATGACTGTATATGAGATACAAACAGAAGTCAAAGTTGCACAGCTCACTAGAGATGCTCACAGGGCTGGACACACGGGACCGTTTCCTGCTAGTATTTCTAGCATACAGGTGGGCATATACTCATCTTATTTGCACCTAGAGTCATCTTAACACTTCTGCTGTGCGGGTTTCCATTCTCGGGTTTGTTCCTCAGGCTGCCTGACGTCCCCAGGGCGCTCCTCAGTGTCACAACCGAACGATCAGCAGGCTTCCGCCATGCAGGACCCAAAATAGAAACCCAGAGCAGCTACAAGAAGTCAGGGAACCCCTCAGGGAGAGATAATCAAGAGAAACGCATCCTGCATCACCCCATGACTGCCAGCCACCTTGCAAACAGCAGGACCAAAAATAAAAGGCCCTTTAGCTGGCTGCTGCCCTCACCTGTAGGCACCAGCCAGCACCTTTTTCCTCCATTGCAACTAGCAAAGCACCAATTGCAAAAACAGCAAGAGCCTCACACCGGGCCTGGGACGACCTCAGCAGGCATCAGGGACTTCCTCACAGCAGGTCACCAAAACCCACTCGGCTTGTCAAGGGGACTGAGACCACCCAGAGCCATCTAGAACAACCGGCCCCATTGCTCCTGCAGGGACGCCGGATATCATAAACAGATCTGAAACGTGATATTTCTGTCCTAAGCAATCACTGCCATTTCACGTAAATGCTTTTAAGTCCGTCTCTTGGCTTTTGATACACAGAAATTACTGTAAACTGAAATTACTGTGGTGTTTTTTTTTTAAACAAGAGATTGGCCAAAAAAATCATCAAGTACGAGCAAGTGCCTTCCAGTCACCGGCATTAATAGTCATGCCTGTTCCCCCCTGGGATTACTGCTGTCCTGCTTGTGCATACAAGTATCAGATAGCCTCATAACGATAAAATTCCCAGCACCTTTCATTACAGTGAGATAAATTACATTTTTGAATGGTTAAAATTGTTACTTAAAAGGCAAGACCATGCACTCCCAAGTTGTCTGTACAGCCTTAATATGCACACGCACGCAGTTCAGTACAGCCTTTAATGACAGGCTCATATACTATTATTTCCCATTATAGGGGCAAGAGAGGCTTGTAAGGAAAGTGAGGGACGATAAATAGAAACAATCAGGGAAACACGGGGACAGAAAGCCCCTGCCTGCTGCCGAGCACAGCCACGCGGAGCGGCACAGCCCGAAGCAAAAGCACGGGAGCCGCCGGCCGCACAGCAATCCCGACCCGCTTCGGGAGCCGGCTCAGCGCCGCAGGACAGCGGGGACCGTCACACCTCTCATCCCTGCCGCCCCCTGCTCGCGTGAGCCCTCCTTGCGTGTCATCCGCAGCTCCGCCGGGCGTTTTTCCCAGCATTGCAAAATTTGTCACGAGTGCTGACCCCCTCTTAAAATAAAGAAATAAATCTCTGCCTCTCTGTACTCAAGTCGCGTTAGTTACTGTTTTTACAGGCCTCGGAGTAACAGCAGAATTAGTATTAGGAAAAGTTTAAAGCCTCTCAAAGCAAAGGGAAATGTCTCTTTAGTAAATGAGCATGTCGTGATTTGAAGGTCTGATGACACCTCTCAAGCTGGCAGCGCGTGAGATGGATGCAGGATACACACCACAGGGGAGCCAGGAGCACCAGGCCCGCGCAGCGAGCATTTCGGGGCCGCGCAGCTTGCTAGCATTTCATTTGAAGCCTTGCTCTACTCCAAGGCTGAACATATCAGCCCTGGATTGCAAACAACAAACATTTCAATGGCTGCTTTCGCCTGTTCTTTGCATTTCAGAAGAGGAGGATGGAGAAGAAAGCAAAGAGACGGGGAGAGAGGGGAGCTCGTGGCTCAGTGTCTGGCAACGTTGCAGGAGATCCAGATTCGACTCCTTTTACAACCCTTTCCAAGATTTTTTTTGTTGAACTATCAAGCACACATACACTCTGCTAATGTGTGCAATCTCCTTAATACCCACTGCTCAGTTATTTGCGACTAGCTCAGTCAACACTTAGCTCTGAGGAAGTCCGCACCTGCATCCAGTGGGGATAGAGCCTAAGTGCAGACAAGCACAAATAGCTGCGCATCTCCCCTCCTGGCACGGGGGTTTAATGGCAGAGGGAGCAGAGCCCAGGCCCCCGCACACCAGCCGGTGCTCTGGCCGCTGGCAATTCCCACCTCCGGCTCTACCACAGCACACGGACGAGAAGAGACTCTTCCATGCTGCAATGCTAGCAGCTGGGATAAGCGCTACAGACAGCCCCAAAATTCACAGGAACTTTAGAAATCTTAAATCATAAGATTTCCAAAAACAGTAAACAAAAAAAACTGCAAAAGTTCTTCCAAAGCCCCAAACCTTGGAGAGCATTGCCAGCCCCAGGCAGCAGCTCAGCCTGGTATTTCTGGCACCATGCAACCCATCAGGATTTCTGGCACCCAGACAGCATGAGAATAGCCACTGGCAGAGCAGCTTTGCATGGAAACGCTCCCACGGATGAGCTCGGCCCCACCGGCTCCCCAGGCGGGAGAGGAATAGTTCTACCTGCCCCTGCCCGGACCCGGCACCTCGTGGGAGAGCCGCAGGGCTGCCCCGCGCCCGACTGACCTGTCCAGAGGGAAGCGTGCTTCGTCCCCTTTGTGGAAGTCACTGCTATTCTCCAGCCTAGCCAGGATGTCCATCCTCTTCATCAGCATCTCCAGCATGTCGCTCATTTTCCTCAGCACCCCTCGGGACTCCAGGGCGCCCATCACTGCAGTCACACAAAGAGCAAGTGAGACACCGTCACAGGCCGGGCAAGGGGCCAGTGCAAAAAAATCCCCCCTCCCCAAGGCTTTAACCCCAGCCCAAAGGTGTCCAGCGTACTGGCCCTGCAGATGGACTTGGTGGCTTGCAGACCTCCTTGGTGGCCTGCTACTTGCAGCCCTGCACCATCATCTCGCATGGGTGCTGCAGGGGCCTGAGACTAATCCCTGTGGGTGCCTAACTTAGCTGGGCTGCTACAGCCTCTCTGCTAGTCGGCAGCCAGCAGTGGCACCAGCTTCAGCCCTGGATCCAGCCTCCCGACCTGCTTCTCCAGGCATAAAATCCTGACACATCCACCTGATCCATCCTGCTTGTCCCAAGTGCTTATGGGAAGCCAAGCTTTCTTCTTCAACACTAAGCAAATAGCTTTTCATGAAGTACTTTTTTTTTTCCCCACTCAAAGGCCCACCTAGCCCAGCATCCTGTCTTTGACAGGATTCTTTAGGGGATGCTTAGGGAAAAGTATGAGAAACAGCACAAATATGTGGTCCTCCCCCAACATATCCTCCCAGCAGTGCAGGATTTTCCTGTTGCAAAGAAGAATTTCTTCTCTGTCCACATCAGCTAGCAGGGTGGGTGCCCCGTCTCTAGAAATAGCTCAATTCTTAAAATGCCGCCACCACATTGCATCCCAGGAAAATCCCACAGTGGGAAAGCAACCATTTCCCATCACTGCTTCCTGCGGACTCGCAGAGCACTGACCCGCTCATGTCAGACCCCAGGTGAGCAAGCTCCCTGAGTGCCCGCGCAGGGGCATCTGCGCTCCCTGCTCCCAGTGTCACCTTCTGTCTGGTGATGGGAAGCCTGAAGCCAGGGCACAGAAAATAAAGCTCCCATTTCATCTTAGCTTGGCTCATTTCGTGTTAACAACAACTTAATCAGCAAACAATCCCCTGAACCTTCTCCTGTTGAGCTCATCTCCTCCACCCTACTCACACAGGCTCTCCGAGGTAGCACACGCTTCATTTGCCGAGCGGCAGGAGATGAGCGGACAACGCGAGGAGCTGTCAGATGCTCCGAGAAGCAATCCCAAACCACGTGTGCCTCTGAAGAAAGCAGCAAAACTGGGTCTTGCAAAACAGGAGGGTGGCCATGTGGGCACACTGCTTACCCTCCTGTCACCCCCCAGGACGAGGCACCCCGTGTCTGGCTCAGCAGCACGGCTGCTCCGGGCTACGGCCAAGGGTACAGGCAGCCCACCGCTGAGCTGGGCTCTTCCTCGCTGCAGAGGAGCTGACCAAGCAGCCAGGCACACCAAGCCACACAGAGCAGGCCTCAATGCAAGATCTATGTATTTTGGGTATTCAGATAAGAGCAGTGTTTATGGCCATGAGGGCTTGCTTTGGGAATCAACTCACCACGACTGCTCCTGCTGCTGCAGAGACGCAGCGCGGGCTTGCTCCTGGCTCAGCCAAGAAGTCACCTGCTGCCCCGAGCCTAGATGCTCTGGAGCTGCAGCAAGGCAGGCAGCAGAAAGACCAGGTTTGCTTTTCCAGCTCTGCTGAAGGAAGACCACAGCCAAACCAGGGGCCTTTGGCACTTGCTGGTGCCCCCACACCGGGCAAAGTGCCCTGACAGTGACCGTCCAGCCAGCGGGGCTGGTTGGCGTCGCACCCTCTCGCACCGCAGAGCCGGGCAATGCCAGGCAGCCCCAGGAGCCCAGAGAAAGTCATCGCGTTGCTCCGGACACCACGTTGCATCCGAACACGTGTTCACGAGCCAACCCTTAACCCCTCTTAGAAGCTGCCACGAGGCCAGCCGAGCGCCTCGAGGACTGCCTTTTGCACTTGGCCAAGATCAAAACTCCATTGTTTCTCCTGATGTTGTCTAACAGAACAAAAGAAGAGATGAAGGTAAAAGTGATCCCTCCAAAAAAAAGAAAAAAAGAAAAAATAATTCCCATTCACAGTGGTTGAAGTAGAGCTCTTTCCCCAAAAGCTCCCTGCCCTCCCATGGCAAGAAGCTAGGGACCTTCCCCGTTCAGGTCAGCAGGTCTCCAAGGTCCCGTGCTGCAGCCCCAGCCCCTCCACGGAGGCCTGCGAGCGTAGGAGCCCCCTTTGTCCATCCCGGGATCACAAACGTGGCACCGAGAAGGCCTCAAAGGCCTCTCGAGCCAAAGCACCATCCTCGCCAGTACCGGGTAGAAGCCACTAACAAACTTGTCGCGGCGGGGAAAAGAGTGGAAATTTGGAACCTGGAGCTGAATTTGAACTGCCCAGGAGCCTCCCCAAACACAGCTGAGCAAACCAAGAAAAGATGCAGCCAAGAAAAAATAAACTAGTTGAGAGAGGGGCTGAAGTCAGAAAATCCATATTGGTAATTTCTGCATAGGATTTCACTCCAGGGACTCGGTCCGTGCTGGCACCTCCCCAACAGTGTTGGAGCTTGGGCTTGGAGCCAAACCTGTGCCCAAGCTTTCAGAGTCCGACATCTCCTGTCCGTCCGTACAAGTTTGCCTTCCAGGACTGACTGCCACACGCGCAGGGATCTCTGCGCAGGACTTGCTGCTGCTACAACGTCCCAGCGCTGCTGAAGGTCAGAGCTTAAACCCTGAGCGCAGCATGAGTGAGATGGAGGCAGTACATGGGAGCACTCTCCCCCCATGGCACTTGCTGGTGGCAGGAATGGCCACAGCCTCCAAACATTGCCATTGTTCCCACAGTCAGAAGGGAGGGAGAGATCACTGCACGGCCAAGGCCACCCTGTAGGGCCTGACTCCACAGCTGACCAAGCAGAGCCAAGAGGGATGACTTCAAGGAGGACCTGAGAGCTGAAGGAAGCCACCAGCGAGGAAGCAAATGCACCTCTGGAAGCACACAAAGGAGACTCACAACAGGAGCAAGAACCCGTGGGTCCTTTTCCCAGGACAAGAAGTTAACCAGAGCTCTGTAACTGTGCAAAGAGGACGCTTTCACACCACCCCCCCCAAAAAAAAAGGGTAAGCTAGCAGCTTTGCACTCCCTGCTGTGTTCACTACACGCACCTCTTTCAGCTGCAGTGCATCCCGTTTGCACACTTCTGTGCAGACCAGTGAGTCTAGAGGACAGCAAAAGCACCTGATACAACAGCTACAGCCAGCTAAAAGAGCTTAAAACATACCTACAGTGTTTGCAGTACCCATGTGGTAGCCCGGGTCTCCAGCTCCGCAGGTGGAAGACTCTGTCCATGGAGCACAGCATCGGCCGGGGCCGGGTAAGGAACATCCCGGGCGGCCACGCTCGCATGCCAGAGAGAGACAGCGCTGGGCTGCGAGGCGCACAGCTGGGAACGCAGAGATGATTTACAGCCACTGCCACCTTCCCCTCTCAGGGCTGAGCTGTCACCCCGATTTGTAGCCAGACTGCATTTGTTTAATTAAGAAGGCTCGTTTAGTGGTGCAGCTCATTTGAAATTGAAATGGTGACGTGCAAAGCCCAGGTGGAGAAGCAGCTCTGCCTCCTTATTAAAACAGATGCATGCACAGAGCTGTCACTGCAAATGGGACTCATGCCTCTTCGGAAAAGCCTTTTCCCAGGACGGGCACAGGGAGCCTTTCCAGCCACGCTAACAGGTCACTGCTGCAAGCGTCTTCCACCAAGGAAGGGCACAGAGGAGTGCATGCATCAGGAGGCCCCTTCTCACCTCCGGACAGCTGATTTGGGGGAGGGTCAGCACAATTTGCCAAATAAACTGGCTCTGGCTCCCTTGCTAGTGCAGAGGGCAGGGTGAGCAAAGTGCCATCTTCAACACAGTGAGCCTGGAGCACTAGGCAGTGCAGCCCTTTGCTTGCAATTTCTTCTTCTATTATCATGAATGAGCATTTCTGGGTTTCCCTTCACTTCAGCATGAGAAGCAGCAAGGCATTTATCTCCCTGTTCTTCCCTGCACAAGCAAGTGCTAATCTTTCCCTGTGCAGAGGCAAGGGAAACTGAGGCACAGAGCGATACAGGGCTCACATCTCCATGCTGGAGGAAGTCAGCCGCTCTCCTCACTTGCTCTGCACGCTGGGTGCCCGCGGCCCAGCAAAACTCGGGAGGCATCGAGCGCGCTCCCAGCCACCTCCACCCCGCAGGGGCTCAAAGGCAGGAGTAAGAGGACTGAGATTTCCTCCTCACACCTCCTCAGGCTAAACTCGCACCTCTAGCCAAATCCAGCCATGGATACCCACTTTTTAGTCTTCCTGCAGAGCCCCACGCGCAGTGTCTAGCACAAGCTGCCACACATCCAAAAAAAAGACAGCTCTGCTCCCAAATCGCTAAGGAGGGAAGAGGACTATTCCCGCTGCACAGGGACCAGTGGGATTGCAGAGTTTCCCCTGGGGCCCCAAGGACGCTGGCAGCAAGCAGAGCGTCGGGCCCCAGCGCGGAGCCGGAGCCCTCTCCTCCCGCCCAGCCTCCCTCCAGCTTTGCCGGCTCTGCAGCGATTTCACCTCGTGTCACTCTGACGATCCAATTTCACAGCTGGTTTTGTGAGCTTCCAGGATGCTTCTCAACAGCAAAGCTCGGAGCTTTGCTGTCAAAAAGTAAGTAGCAATAGTCCTCCTCCAATAAAGGAAAACACCTCAAATCCTGACGAATTAAAAATAAATAACTAAATAAATCCCAGTCTTCACTGGGTTATCTCTTCCCCCCGTCAGAAAGCAGAGCTGTCACAGGACCCATCTCCCCCTCATCCTCACCCCTCCCCAAGCCCTTAAAGATGAATTTTGAAGCTTTGCCTCATCAACACCTATTTTTCCTGCTGTTGGGGTTTTTGTTGTTGTTGTTGCTCTGCTGTTCCAGAAGCTTAAGAAGGATAACAAGAGCGATTTGACATTTTTGGCAATGATTATTACATCTCTTGGAAAGTGTGCCTCATTAAAACCAAGAGCAAGGAGGAAAAAGTGCTGAAGCGACGCTTTTAGAAATGCAAGAGCCGAGATTAATTTGTTAACCTGATGTGGAGTCCTGGGCACCCGCAGAACCGCTG